TCATACACGAGGTGATTTTACAGCACCATCGTTTAATGTATAAGGTATATGAACTTTTCAACGCGTGATCACTTTCTGTTCTAAGTGAAAAAGTACGACCGCATTTAAAATCAATGACAAAATACGTTCTTTTAAGAAATGCTTAACCTATCGTGATTGAAAGCATCCTTAAAAAATCATGTTATCAATATTGTACTCTGTATAAATTAATATAAAAAATATTTTTTCGCATCGTGCAGCACAACACTGAGTCGTATAGTGTAGCGCTAATGCATTCGGTCATTCACATTTATCAGTGAATAATCTGCTTGATAACTGTAAATTTTAAATTTATTTACCAAATCGGCATTTACAGTTTACAATTTAGCATTACTGTAATTAAAATGTTCAAAAGGAACAGTTAAATTGTTACACGAGCCTAATATAAATAACGCGTCGAGTAAACGCCCTAATTCTGTATGGATAACAACTCATTGCACGAGATGCCGATGCTGCACAAAATGTGACCGGCTGAAGACATCAATCTCATCATCGTCACATATTACTTAATAATTACAACGTCATCGTAGCTATTTGGAAAAAGCGTTCTTGTACCTACCATCAGACGAGATTCATTGTAATGTTATAGTAATTTTAATTATATTTTATTTAAATAAAATTGATTTTTTTAGTCCTTCGGCTGCAAAACTACACAATTGAAAGAAAAACAACAAGGTAACATTTGTTGTTTAAATGCTGTTCTGTTTTCGAGCGGAATTCTTTGTCGGGTTCCATTTTTTCCGAACGGTGCAACCTTGGTGAATTAGCATGTCATTATCATCCACGTCTTCGTGTTTCAGCTCATGTGACTACGTACAAGCGTGAGCTTTAACAAAAAGAGATGTAGTACACAACTATGCATATTTGCATAGGAAAACAGCTATTTTTTCAGGAATAAATGGATTATATTGAAATACGTCGGTATTTTTAAATTTTTTTAATAATTTTTTAATAGTTTTTTAATTTTAATTTTATTCTCTCCTTTGCACAATACAACATTGTTCCAAAGACAGGCTCCAATATAAAACTGCCCTTAAAAAGGAAACAAATATATGAATTTCGCATCGTGCTGTAGTACCGTATTGAGTCTCGAGCGGCCGGTGAATGATCAATAATTATCAAAAGTCTTATGAATACGCGTTATACAAATTGGAATTCCTGTTCACAATTTATGACACTACATTGTAATTAATGTAACAGAACTTTCAAAGGGACCTCAGAGTAAATTCGCCTACTACTTTTTAGAACGAGGTCTACCATGAAATCCGAAACACGAAGCACCGGTCTTTCGTATCGGACAGATGCATGCGTCCAAAGATCGTGATTTGGCACAAAAGCGGCGTCGGAGATTCACACTTTTATTGCAGACAATAAAATACAATGCGCATGTAGCGTTTTAATTGAACTTTCATTATACGAACACATCAGGAGTGGAACTGATCCATGGAACTGGAAACCCTTGTCCAGTTCCGTATTTTTCGAACCGTGTAACCTGGATATCTCGGTAAACAGACAAACTTCAGGGAGGTTTACGGTGTATCATTTCTGTTCACATCTTCCAGCAGCTGTGATAGTGGACAAACGTGAGCCTAACCTCAATAAAAATAAAGTAGTGCACAACAATGCATACTTACACTCGGAAACACCAATTTTTGTTATAAAAAGTGCCTTTTTTAGTCAGTATTATACTGTTTTGTTTTTAAAGCACAATACAATTCATACTTTCATAGACAAACTCCAACATAATCCTTTTCTGAAATGTACATACATAAAACACGTTAATCGATATTATATACAATGTGTTGATTTGCAGTCTCGTCATATTTACAGAGGTCATTCTATATCCGAAACTAAACTTAAATCATTAAAACAAAATCCTAAATTCTTATTTTTTATTTAATTGCGGTAACCAAGTTTGATCCAAAGGTTATGGACTTGCACTACACGTACCACAGGTACCGGCAACCATTTGAACAATGACCTATGCGCAGTATGCGCAGACAATATGCATTTTAGATTTATTTGGTGGCAGGGTACGAGTAGAGACGGAGGGAGTATATTTATTTCTATTATTAATTTCTTAAATATAGCGAGATTGCAAATCAACACCCTGTATATATTATATTTTATGTCGAAAGAGTTAGAAGACAAAAATAGTGTTATCATCGAAGAAAAAGTTTTCCCCGGTTTTGCAAATCCAAATTCTCAACAAGGACTTGTGGAACAAACGTTTAGTGTACTAGTGTCAAAATTGCATAATACTTCTTGATCAATCAAACATTGTTCAAGCTTAGGGCACTTAATACTGAAAGTGCGTGGTGGCTCGAATTATATGTCCGGAAGTGTATATAACGACGGCGACGTTAACAGCAAATGAATGGAAATATTAATAGTTTAATAAGACAGCTTATGAGTGACACCATGCCTTCCTCGCATAATAATGCTAATAAGTACCATGCAGTTGTCTTGACTCCATAAAAATTTTAATTATTTATTATTATTACCAAATATTACGTAATTCATGTATTAATTTTGAATCACACATAACAATCAATCAAGATAATGATAATCAATCGATAAAGAAAAATTAAGTCTCTGTATAATGTTGCTTTGGGTGCATATATTATTTATTGTTTTAATACAGATGTAAGTTTATTATCTACGTACGTATGTTTATATTATGTTATTTATTGCCATACAAGTTATTATTATCAATTAGCGTTCTAGTATATTGTTATTGTTTTTTTTCTGTTTGGCCCAATAGTTGATAGGTAAGTTAAGTCCGCCATTAAAACGTCAATATGTTGTACAATACAGTTGAAATAAATAAATAATATAGCCATATAAGCAGTGGCAGCTAGTTAATCGGTAGAATGCATGCCTTCTGTGCTTGGGCCCTGGCTTCGATTCAGCCACATTTGTCTCTATGAATCATATTAATTTCGGTTTACTAATTTATCACAGGTTTTAAAAGTGAAGGAAAAAATGTTCAACGTGAAAATCTAACATTAAAAGTAGGAATTTTCTCACTTACTTCACGTACTTGACTCAAATAAGTGACATAATTGATTTTTGTTCCAGGTATTGAGAGGGGGTTACCAAAGATCTCCTTTTTTTATTATATCAAGCGACGGGACGGACAAGTCGTCAACGCCTGGGGGTAAGCGACACGCCTGCCCATAAAGTGCCACTGCGCGCAGTCACCCTGAGATATAAGTTGATAAGTTCCATATGCCTGTAATTTCACCTGCACCCTTCAAATCGGAACGCAATAAGTTTCACATTATACTGCTTGGCGGTAGGAATAGGTAAGGTGGCAGTACTTCCCTCCAATTCTTTCCAACTTTTAAATTTCTATCCTAAGATTGCCTGGACGAAATTACTACTTGGAAATAAGGCCGCGTGTTGTACGTTAGCTTACTCTGTGATACTTGCATTACTGTACTGTGTTATCGTTGTAATTTTTAATGTGCAATAAACAATATTTCAGCACTTGGTACTTGGTGTACAAACTCTATTATAAGGAACTCTACTGCTGTCCGACAATATTCTTATGTTCCATATAATATATATCGCACTATTAATACGATACTGTACTATCTGAAAATGTGTACTTTTCAAAATTGATGAAAAACGAATTACTCACTTTCCGTGAAATATTATTAAAATTTATATAATTTATATTTAAATCTACACGGTTAAGTTTTAACAATTTTCTATTCGCCAAATATACTGATATTTCCGTAAAGACTTTCAAAAAGTTTTGTCGCATTTTGAGTTAAGTAGATATCTTTGAATTGTTTCTTACAATATTCTAATGACGCTTTTATTGACGCGTAGAGAATCAAATTTTACGTTCAGCATTAGTATAATCTCGAATTTCATATATTTTGAGTTACAACACTATTGCAATAGCAGTGGATATCTTAAGGAGTAACATACATACATATCATATAAAAACTCAATAAGTAATATGCATGTATTGCTGTTGTCGGCGACGTGTGACGCAATCTGGTGTCAGGTAACAGGTCGCTTATTTTAACTATTGGGTAGTCACCTCCTAAGATAGCGTAAAAGCGGGGCTGCTGAGGCCCTTTCATCACTTATACATCATAGTTTATTAGTACATCATATATCGTGTGATTTTCTATATGTGTGTGTGTGTATGTTGCATGAATAAAATTTTAATATAATTCATATTGCCCACATCAATGATTCACATTTTACGCAACTCCATATTATTTCCTAGAAAGTGCTCCAAAACAAACACGTGGCCACTGTACTATCAATTATATTGTCAAATGACGAAACGAAAAATCGTAAATAGTAAAGTTGTAATTTGGGTATTTGCGTTTGTAATAGAATATCCCTACTTCACTTTGCGGAATATTTAAAACTTTCTCCAAATCAATGCAAGTAACAACGTTGTCATTCTTGGCAAAGCCTTGTTTTTCTTCGTCTTTAAGCTGTCTCACTAAGTTCTTTGCGTTAAATGTTTTTCGTATTTATCCTTTAATTGGATTTTTCGCGTGTCTGGTTTTTTGTAAATCATGAATATCTCACATTGATCTTTTTTAGGCTTGTAACATTGACTTACAAATAAATGGACGACGGGTCTAATACAAAAACCACGAAAAAAATGTCCCAAGTCAACCTATTTAAACGTAGTGACATGTAAAGGAATATGAAAAAGCTAAAACGTTGAATTTAAATTGTAATGTCAGTACTGTCTAATTTTGCTTGCTTCGCTGTCAGTCGAACAAACGAAGACTAAAGCGTGAATGACGCTATGTATACGATTTTACCGCCCTATAAGTTCGGACACTTTTTAGCGCGGACCTGACGTCAATGTAATTGTAAGTCAATGGCTTGTAAAACGAAAGGTTGAATTTCGAATTAAAAATATATTCATATTGCCGTTTCGTTGCTTTTATGACCTGACCGTACTGTGGCTGTGTCCCCATCCATTCCAAGTAAAGCCGATGCAATATTCAATATTTCTTCGAGGTATTCTTTCTGACTGTCCTTTCTTACGTAGTGAGATTCTACTCTGCTAAAACTGTTAATGTGTTCCTTTATTTCAGTATCATCTGATAACTTTTTTGGTCTATTTGAATGGTTTCTTCTCAAGTCCTTGAATTCCGTCGATAATTTTTGCACAGCAGTATAAACAACTTGCTGTGTAATACTTCGTGTATTTAAAAACATAGTTTTGCATACTTTAATAGATTCGTAGATATTATCAGTAGAAGGAAGAGACTAAGTAAGCGTCTGGATGCGATTGACCTTTCTGTCTGTCATTTTCTTGATAGCTGTATTTTTCACTTTTCACATATCGTACTATGAACTCCCACTGCCGTTCATGCTCGCTTTTTTGTCTTTTTCTTGTTAAACTGGAAGTAGGGGTTTTGTTTGCTTGCTCATTAGTTACGACATCTGTTCTTAATATTTCGTAAAACCCCTTCTACATCAGGTATACGTCATCATGGCCTCGAGCCGCATCGCTTTCCTTTCCGGAACGTGCGAGATCTCAAAGTCGGAATCACCCACCCACGACGCGGCGGCAGATCTCTGTCGAGCCGCTTGAGGGACCATCGTAGCGGTGGGCCGCCGCGTTGGCGACGGGAACTGGCAGGACGACGGAATACCACATCAAGTACGATGTGGTGGTGGTCAGATAGCATGACCACCTCTTCCACCACCCGCCAGGCCGACACCACAAGGAGTCGCTCACGATAGATCGATAAGCAACTCCCCCTGCCACCGACTGACTGACTGACGCACTGACTGACGCCCGATTCAAGATTCAATACCTAATGAATATGTGTAATTATTTGGATTCTATTAATACAATTATAGGTAAGTGATTCGCGTTACAATTTTCGCTATGTTGCCGCTCTTACACATACCTAATAGGTACGAGAAAGTGATGGGTAACGCTGCCACTTCACATGGGAATTGTCAACTTATGTCACTGGTCAATGGGCACAGCGGCAGTGCGCCTCAAATCTTTGCGATGTAAGTGGTACTGCAACTGCTATGGACAGGTGTGACGCTTACCACCAGGCGTACGACATGTTGCCCCGTTTCACTTGACATAATAAAAATATTCTATAAGAAATTATTAAAATTAATACTTATGACTGTAACATCGTGACAAAAGTATTATTGTCCCTTTTTTACGAATAACGAAAGTTTTAAAATCAATATGCTTACCTCTTTTGATTCATTAAGCAACAAGGATGTTTCGAGTCATCCTCTGCAACTTCGATTGATCTTTCGTAAATGTATAATTTTGTCAAATTTCTGCAGGAATTATACATTTTGTTTAGCGTGTGCAATCGAAAATAACTAGGAATATCCAGTGTGTGCTATGTGACAGAACAATCTAGATACTCCACGCTTTATTTAGGGCGCGGTGAGGGACGAAATCTGTGTTTCAGAAACTAAAGAAGTAAACAGTCTCCTATGATCGTATTAAAAGAAGG